CACAATGATGAGAGAGTATTTCCTTCCACTGATGTTAATTTTCTTGTTAATATTTAAATTAGAACTGAAAAATTAAAATATAATTAACATGTAAAGCACTCATTGAATAGTCTGTGGCTGCTTGTAAATTCACGATGTTAAGGTAGTTTTTTCTCATGTAGTTCAAGTGTTTTTCCCCTTTAATTCTCCCTGTTCCAAAAATCATTCACCTTTTTCTTCTTTCAGGTACCCTAATCTTGAAGCATTTTCGCTAGATGTCAGGCTTGTTTTTGACAACTGTGAAACCTTTAATGAAGATGATTCTGACATAGGCAGGGCTGGCCACAACATGAGGAAGTATTTTGAAAAAAAATGGACAGAGATTTTCAAAGTGAGCTGAAGTTACCAGAACACTTTTTTCTTTTTCTTTTTTCTTTTTTTTTTTTTTTTTTCCATTAAATGAGGACTGATAAGACCAGCAATGTGAACTGTATTACATGAAAGTGCAAGGCACATGCATAACTAATGACTGTTTTTTTCCTTTAAAATATCACAGAGTTGTGATACTAGTTCTAAAGGCTTCACTCCTACAGCAACCATGGCCCCTTGGTTATTGGTTTGTGTGTTTTAACAAACTAATTTAGGTAGAACAGGGAAGCACACCCAAAGAATTGCAAAGAAAGGGGTGTTATAGTGCAATAGCAATTTAAAATATATCAAAACGCACTGAATATTCAACCACCAGAGCTCTACTCGGGGAAATGGTTCTCTTTTCCCTTTCAATAAATGTCTATTTTTCATTTTTTTACTTTGTAGTTTATTTTTTAGTGAATGTATTTAATTTTATGAATTATTTATGATTATACAGCATTCAGAGTCTTCGTTTTCTGTGAAAAGGAAGAAATAGAAAATTGCTTTAAATCTTGAAAATACAACAAGGAATGTTTTAAAATATAAAACAAAGCCAAGTAAAACTGTTTACACTGATGTGCTGTAAAGGCACTAAAAATGAAACTTTACTGTAGAGTTACAAGTACATTTATATATATGTTGCTGCATCACTTGTGTAGTTAAATTGTATTTCAAGACAGTGAAGAAAAATTGAGACATGTATATACTGTTCATTATTGTTTATATTAAGTCTTGTTTTAAATATGTATGATGTGTACATATTGTTTGCAGACATTATTGTTTATGCCTTAGGAGGACGGTAGCATTTTATTTTAGTCTTAAGGTAATTATAGCTATATGGCTTGTACAGTAATTATCCTCTACCAACACTGTGGAGTCTCCTTAATCTTGGTAGTGCCTGCCTTTAAAACAGGGTGTAGGGGATATTAGTTTTCCATTTTTCTATTTTGTTACATAATTTCAAGCCACCAGGGCCTCAAATTCAAGTATAATCATTTGTATCCATGTGAAATAAAATTGTGACAATTTCCTACCACACAGTATTTTTTCATAGAAACATTTCCCTCCATTTGCCTTGCCACAGAAATGACAAAAAAAAAAAAGACATTTGTAACCACTGTGTTTTATCTACTGTGTGTTGTGGTGGCCTGTTGGGGCAGATAGATCAGAATTTTTTTTTGTACTAATGTAAGAGTACTTGAAGTTTTATTTAAAAGAAATGTTGTGGAAAGGTAGCATTCTTTTTCTTTTCCTTTTTTAGGAGTGTTATTTTTCACTAGTATGTGTGGCACGGATACAATAAAAGACTGTTTTGCAAACCAGATTTTCTTGGCGATTTTAATACTTCAGATCCTGTATATACAGGAATTTTTTTAATCATACCTTGGGAGTCTTGCATTTAACATTCAGTTCTTCTTGTGATGCATCCAATTCTCCTGGCCTTTTACTGGTAATTCAAAAAGAACCAATTGCCAAGCAGTCATTGCAGTTCAGCCACCTCTTTCAATGAGTGTAAATAACATTAGCTGAGGCCTTCAGGTGTAACCATTGGGCTGCCTAGTATTTGACCTGTTTCTGCCAGTCCTGTTTACTGTTCTTACCGTGTGCATGCACATGATAATGTAAATACATGCCACGTGTAATGCTGCTTAAAACCACTGTCCATGCAAGATTTTGTCCTTTTTTTTGGTGTGAAAAGGGCATGAGTCCTAATCCTTTCTCTGACTGAAGAAAATAGAGGGATTACAAATGAATATTGTAGAACCCCAATACCTATAGCTCCCTCACCAAGTAATGTTTGGGGAGGGGGGGGAAGGGGGGAAGGTGGTGGTTTTTTTCTTTTAAACTAGGTGTGCCATGTTTCAGTCTTAGAGCCTTTTTTTCTATACTCCCTTGTGATTATATGTCTTGTCTCTGCTGAAAAAGAAGAGCCAGTGACTGGTTTTTAATAAAATTTTTGTTTCCATTGTCCTCCCCAGAACATCTTGTTCAATAATATTTTTCTTTTCTAAAGTCCTGTTGGAATAATTCATGTTACCTAGAATAAAAAATTCCCATTTGGGTGTCAGGTAGTCTTGCATTCCAACATTAGCTCCACCACTGACTGTTCCACACCCTTCTTTTTCATCACCTTTATGAAGACTTCAATAAAAAGATTTGCTGATATGTTCCATAGATGTGAAGATTAGTCAGTTTTTTGAACATAGGATGGTAGGCTTGTAAGAGTGTTATAAGTATGCTTAGATTATTGGGAAAACGATTTCTCTGATGCAAAACTTTTTTTTTTCCCTCAGATTCTGTACTGGCTAATGCTTTATTTGCCATACTAGATGCAGTGTTAAGTTTTCTGAAAAGTCAGAAAAACATTACCAGCTATACTACATATATAGTTGCATTTTTCAGCCTGTATCCTAATTCAGCTTAACAGCTGGGTAAGTTAAGGCAGTAACAGCTATTTATCGCTATGATAGTGACACAAGCATCCCCTCTCCTGACTTGACATTACTTATGTATTGCTATTCTCACTAGCAGCCAGTGTCTTCATTATTAATTTGGTAAAATTAAATTTACAGCAATTACTATATTTGAATGGCAAGCTTGAATCATGCACGTCATCATATAACTTCATAAAAAAGAGCATGGATTTAACCACTAGAAAAACGTGCTTAGCATTTCTTTGCTGACTTTCTCTCCTGTTGATGTTTCTGTTTGTCTGTTTTCTTAGAGGAAAAGTTTTCCAGTGTGCTCTCTTCCTTTCTAAATAAAGTATGCTGGTCTTAATTTAGAGAACTTATTGACAAGCTTTCAAACTCTTTAAAGTACTGTTAATGGTCCTCAATGAAGCGTGTTCTGGTTGTGAATGGATTCTCCTTTGGCATCTCTTTGAAAAAAACTGAATTATAGAAAAGCAGCTGAAAATCAGAAGTCATAGTTGCCTTGGACAAAACATCTTTAAAAAGCAGTCTAAAGCTTTTTCTTTAGTCTTCTGATATGATTTCTGTAGTTTCCTAATAACAATTAGAAGGATAGAGGTGCTGTTAATTGTGAATGGGCATGGGCATCTGAGGAACAGTCATTTTATATAATATGCTGAACAGGTGGCCTTGGGGACTTTGTTTTTTAAACTTGTATCATTCCTAGATGTCTTAGATTTACCAAAGCGAGTGCTATAGACTGAAATCGGGAACACCACAATTATGTCATTATGATTATGTAACTCTTTGAACTACCTTGAGCTTAGAACTTCAGAGTTAACCAGAAATTGTTATAGCTGGTCTGTACATTCAGAAGAATTAATGTGTTATCTTTTATTACACAAATTTCTGTTGCTTGTATTGCTCAAACTAACTGTCATTACTAGAACCGGTAGGTGAATTTCTGGTCATGTTACTGATTCACAATGTCTTATTTAGCAAGTAATTTCAATTTTCCCATCTGTAAAATATTATGGAACAGTCTTTTAAGTGTATTGGTGTGGTATTCACAATCAAAAGTCTCTAACAATTGATAAAAGGTTCTTTTAAGGCCAATCCATAACCACATATGAAATAGAATGAATACTAGCCATCACCTAGGATTCAGAATAATTAATGGACAGTCATCAGCCAGTGAATCAAATAGAGTGCAGTCAGGTAATACAAGATCATACAGGTTCAAACATGGAAGGTAGACCACCTACATAAAATAGAATGTTTCCTGGGCAAAGAGTGACTCCAAGAAAGTGACTTAATTTTCCTCCAAATTTATTTTGCATGAGTTTCTAAGTAAACATGTATCTGGAATTGAAAATGGCAATGATGTGAATTTCCTGATAGATTATGGTGTTATGGGAGTTGTATTTGTTTGAAACCCCTTTAATTAAGCAGTTAATAGCAGGTAACTTCACCTGTTCACTTGCACTCTGGCTCATCATTCACGGCTTGGAGCAACAAGTGGGAGGCTGGGCTGGCCCTGGCCTTTTCCCCTGGAGCAGAGGGGGCCACGCCAGTGCTCTGGTGTCAGCCAGGGAGGGACACAGAAGGGCAGTCACGATCTTGTGTTCAACCAGCTGTAAATACAAGCCTGTAGCCTTGGCAAATACAGACATACCTCGTGTTGAAGCAGGCGCCTCTGTAGTGACTGGCACTGTCCCGAGTTGATCAGTTCTGAGGATTCAGCAGCATCTCGGAGCTCATCTGCCCTGAGGCAATCTTCACCAGCTCCCTTTCAGCGCCCCGTTTTTGTCTTGTCTGCTGCCCTCCTCACAGGTACCAAGACCCCCTTTCAGCCTGCCTCTCACCGCAGGGGCCTGTGGCACAGTGACAAAATGCCCCTGAGCAGATGTTTTACGGATCCAAGCGGAAGCGTTTGGACAAGAGCTGTGGGCGCAGTGGTCTAATAAAAACATCCACGCCGACGTTGCTCCAGTGAGGGGACTGGCGGAGGCAGCGAGGAATCGGTGAACGCAGCACCGCCTTCGCCCCACCGCTCCCCCCCGGCCCTCGTGCCGTGGTGCATCCCAGAGCCGGGGACGCCAGCGCGGGCTGCACCACGCTGAGACGGCGCAGGGGGGAGGGCTGGGGAGAGGTCCGCGCGTGCGCAGCCTTGCTGGCCTGCGCCGCAGGAGCTTGGCGGCGGGACGGGCGGCGGGGGGTCCTGTGAAGGCTGCGCGGGGCCGGGGTGGCGTGTACAGGAGGGCTCGCAGCCCCCGGGTGGGGTCTGGGGGGCAGGCGGCAGCGACTGGCTGCGTTTTCAGGCGTGTGCGCGGTACTGCCGTACCCCAGAGGGGCGGCGAGCCTGGGTCCCTGCGGCCTGCTGCTGCGCGCCGGTCCCCTCAGACCCGTCGCTGCCCGTGCGGAAGAGCCGCGGTGCCCTTCCGCGCCGTTGAGGCAGGGCCCTGCCCGCGTGCTGACCTGGAACCCGCCATTGGAGTTCGGGGTGAGACGCGAGCCGTCACCTCCAGCCGTTTCCCGGGCTGCTCCTCCGATGTGGTGGCGTTAGGTGGTGACAGACCGTAGGCAGTGGCAACAGGAAAGGGGCTGTCAGCAGCGCCTAGAATCGCTGCAGCTTTTCCTGTGGGCAGCTGCTGGTGGTTGGCGGGTTAGGAGAAAGCTGTGATGGCTAGAGAAGGTAATGCTGTCGCGCTAAACATCTATCCTGTGGTAGTTGTCCCAGATTCTCATTGTTCCCTCAGCTAGTTTAAGCTGTTGGTACCAAAACCTCTCATTCCTAGATTTGCTTTTCTGCAGTGAGCTCCTGAAAATCTTGTAATGAGATAAAGGTGCCTTTTTCAGCCTCATCTTTCCAGTTGTCAAGCTTTGCCTGACTCTTAAGTTTCTCACAGTTGAAGGAAGTACATTAAACTTCTTTCTACATATAAGAGACGTTGCTGACACCACTTAATCTGTTTAATGGTTTTAAAGAGGATACCAATAAAACTGGGAGAATCCTAAAGGTAAAATAGAGAGTGTTCAAAGATCTGATCTTTAAATTGGCATGCTGTATGCTGCCTGAAGGGAACAGTTATTTTGCACTCACATTTTGACTTAAATGTGTTACTCAGCGTGTGATGTTTGATTTACATGAAAATCTGGTCAAATCTCTTGACTGGCAAAACAGGCCTGTTGTTGATATTATTTTGATGTTTTGCCATCACTAATGTTGCTGTCTAACTGTGAAAGCTAGCAGAAGTTTGAATTTGAATAAGGTATTCAGGCCTGGAAAGGAAAATTTATCTTCGACTCTGGTCATCGAATCTTAGTGTTCATCTGTGTTAGACCTCCAGGTAGGAATTTATTGCTTAATCTAGTTTTAATCTGAAAAAATATATACAATTGTCTAATCAATTATACTATAACAAGTGCTCTAAATGCTGTATTTTCAAAAGTATCAATTGTTGAGTCTGCAGACTGGAAGTTATAATTCATTGGAATGTATTTCAGCAAGCTCCAGATTAGAATAATTTTCAGGTATCTTTTTGATATTGCTTCCTGATTAATATTTTGGGGCTCATTGATGACATGCGAATGTACTTTTTTGGAGTTGTGAGAAGAGAAAGAATGCTGAATACATGTGGTTATAGTTGCTGAAAGTGTTAATATAAAAGTGTTAGATTATTTTTTGTATGCTCTTGGTATAGTTGAAGCATTGTTCTTGGGTCTATACTGTGCTAATTGCTTTCTGTTAGAGCAAAGGATAGTTGAGGATGTGTAATAATGAATTAAGGTGATTAAAGAGTGAACGGTATCTTTGACTGTTTGCTTCTTTAGGACTCTCTTAATGTTTTCATTTTACTACAAAGTATTCTGAACAGGCAACCCTTGATGCTGTGCTCAGTTATTCTACTTTTGTTATCTATATTTGCTTCTTTTTAGGTAACTTTGTATGTTTGTTAGTACAAGATTTAAGTTTTTTCTGTATTACTTTCAAAACAATGGGGCCTCATCCTGGTTACATCCTCCAGGGGCTGTGGTACACAAATGTTAAAGAATACAGAAGATAAAAATGACAGAGCTTCTTGGCAGTACAAGGAAGGCACTGTTCACACCTAACTGAACTTTTCTTCAGCTGTCAGCTGATGTTTTCTGTCATAACGTTGTTAGTCTTTGTAAGTCTTCTGTAGTACTCTGATCAGCTCTGTTCCTGCCCTCCTCAGTAGTTTAGATTCCCATCTCTGTATGTGCCTCCTGCTGCTCTCTGTATCTCTCTGGATCCTTGCTCTTTTCCCTATGCATAAAATTAATACTGTTTATTTCCTCTTTCACTCATTACCACCAAGAAAAAAGAGAAGGGAGGGGATAGGAAGGACCAGAATAACAGTCTTTTCAAGTTCTACTAGAGCCACCCAGCTGTGGCTCCATCCCTGTTCCCCAGACTGGCCCTGTGACCTCCAGTGAGGCTCTTCTGCTCCTGACCCTTGCACCAAGTACGCCAAAGCCTGTGATTTTGCATTGGTTGCTGTATAAGCGGAGGCACAGAATTGCTGAGAGAGGATTTAAATGTTCTTTTTAATATTTGGAGGTTGCAGGAGTGAGAAAATAAATCACCTTTTCCTCCCTCTGACAGGGGTCCCACACTTAGTCACCTAACCAGATCTCTCCAGGAGGGAAAACTACAACCTGGCCTGCGGTGATAAAGATAATAACTTGATGTTACAAGCGTAGGGAAAGTAGTAGAAAGGAAGATCCAGTGGCTCTTTGCGAATCAGTAGCTGTCACACCCCCAGACCATATCTCAGGTTAGCTTTTATTCTTTGCTCTTGCTTGCTTCCCATAGTCATTAGTTCAAAGTAGCTGTTAGTCTCTGGAAGCAAAGACTAAGTGGAATTCCTGTGATGTGTATTTCATTCCTAGCATACATTTGCGGCCTGCTCCCAGCTGGATATTTAGCAATCTGTTTCACTCCTGAGCTCAGGTTTATAGGTATGATGAGACATGTTTCTGCTAATGCTACACTTTCACAAGTTTGTTGATGTGGATGGCTTGGAAATGGATACATGATTTGAAAACAAATACAACTTGTAACTTTCATCCCAGATTGGTAGGGAAATTTACCAGGCTTTTTGCATTCAGATAATATTTAATAAACATTTATTGATATAATAATCTGGTAATTACTATACTACTAATAATCGGTATACTAAGGTAGTGTCTTTCTATGATGGAGTAACTGTATCAGTGTACAAGGAAAGAACTACCAGTGTCATCTACCTGGACTTCTGTAAGACTGTTAACATGGTCCCACACAACATCCTTGGATCTAAATTAGCGATAAATAGCTAGAATAACTTATTTTGCCACTGCTCTAAGACCAAGTAGCTACTACATAATCTCACATGTTGTACTGCAAAATTGCAAGTTGACCTTAGAAGTTTAGGTATGTTAATTCTAACTAAGTCATAAACCCTTCATCTCATTGCTGTGATTGATCTAAGTTGAAGATAAAACAATGCTTACATGAAAAATCTACCTCTGCAAATGAATTTACTACTTTTTTCCTGGAGAATGTATCTTGTTATGGTGATATGTTGAATTTATGAAATAGGAGAGATAAGTCTAACTGTTAAACTTTTTTGCAGATATTTTTGTTGAAAGTAGATAAAATGGCGACATTAATTCACACTTTAGCAGATCATAGTGATGATGTCAACTACTGTGCCTTCTCATCATTGTGCCTGGCTACTTGTTCCATGGACAAAACAATTCGCGTTTATTCTCTAAACAACTTTACTGAGCTTCCATACTCGCCTTTAAAAGGTCATACATACGCTGTCCACTGCTGCTGCTTCTCTCCATCAGGACATGTTTTAGCTTCCTGTTCAACAGATGGCACTACCATGGTTTGGGACACTCGTGATGGCCGGATGCTGACAGTGCTAGAGCAGCCCAGCGGCAGTCCTGTTAGAATCTGCCGATTTTCTCCTGAGTCCACATACCTAGTGTCAGGGGCAGCGGATGGAAGTGTAGCTCTTTGGAACATGCAGACATTGAAACTGTACAGGTGAGTGCCAAGTATTTTTTGACACCCTTGTTTACAATGAGAATAATATAATTTAAGTAGCATGCTGTACTGTGTACAAGACTTGCAGACTTGCATCACTGATTGATATCATGAAGAAATAGGAGTAGGATTTAGAAGACCAGAAGATTATCAAAGGAGAGGGAGAGGTGCTGAGTTTGGGATTTTTTTTTGTATGTTTGTTTAATGAAACAATGGAAAATCAAGAGACTTTACTTTTTACTAAGCTATCTTCCATCTAAATCCTCATTTTTTTTTTTCTTACCTTCATGGAAGTGTTTTCATTGATTTTACGTGAAATCAGGATGCATTGCATGCTGCGTGCATCTGGTTTCTAAACAGTGGATCATCAAACTATGATACGTAAGATACAATCAGTTAGTGGAGCCTGACTCTGCTATGTGCCTTATATTGCATTATATGTAGTGTTTTTTAATGAAGTATTTAATTACATGGATATTTGGAGTCCAGGAAGGTCTTAGAAGCTTGATAATAATCTAGCAATCAGAGTTTGGAGACTCTTGACATATCCTGAAACCATACAGTTTAGGACATAAAAGTGACAGGAGTATTGGAGCTTAGTGAGTTAAGTATGACAGTGAACATTTCACATAGGTTTCCAATAAACACATGAAACAAAGCAGATGAGCATTTTTAGTGATGTTGCACAGTTAAAGGCATGAACCTTAGGGTAGTCTTCAAACTCCTCTCAATCTTTAAATGTTAGTAAAATCTTCATGACAGTTGTTTTAATCTGTACTTTGGCAAGACATCATTTAGGTTTTAGAGCAGCAATTACACAGCATCTCTAAAGCTAGGACAGAAATTAAAAATTTGAGCAAGTTGATGAGATGTTTCACTTAGGATGAGGGAGCAGCCATTTATGAAAGCCAAACTTGTTTGGTTTTGGTAATCCCATGTCAAGCATGTTGCTGCTTTTATGGCCTATCTACTTTTGTCTTCCACAGCAGTGATTTAGATGGGAACTGTAAAATTTTTTTAAATTATTGATTATAGTTACCTGAAATCATGTAAATCTGGAAACCCGTCCATAAACAGAATTCAGATAGATTTTTGCCACCTTCTTGTTTGTAATGCATATAGAAACACTGAAATGTTTTTGTGTTTACAGAGAACAAAGAGGTTTTGATTAAGTATTGATTCGTAGGTTTATTTTTAAGAAAAGGTGGGAACTTTAACCATTAGTGTTCTTAAGTCTAAGGGTTTATCTATTTTGAGGTACTAGTGAAGGTGTTTTTTTTTTTTTTTTTTATTTAGAATATTTCTTACTGACAGGGAAAACCCCAGAAATATTAAAAAGTAATTTCTTATAAGTATGTGCTATTAATATATGTGGTGATGCATGTTTTAGATCTTAATTTTCTCCTAGTTGAATGGTGGATGTATAAAGACTACGTAGAAACTATATTGTTGTTTTAAGCAGAAATTATTCTGCTTTGGTGTTTCCATTGTAAAGAAATAAGAAAGAATTTGAACATTCCAATCCTGTCCCCTTCACTTTTAAAAGTTCATTTCAGAGTGTTAATATGCCAGCAGTAGTCAGCTTAACTTTAATTATGTATATTTTTGGGATGTGTCTATATATATTTTCAGTTGATTAATTTTTGTTATTGTAATTTGTAATTGCAGATAGAAAAGTGCACCTGTCCTGTTTTCTTAAAGCTAAGATCAATATTACTTAGAAATTATCAAGGTACTTAAAAATGTTGTCAGAGGATTTTAGTTAACCATCTAATGTCAGTCTGTTGTCCTCTGTTTCTTTTGCAACAGTTGATTGTGTTGGCACTAAAAAATGTGTTTTACCACACTACTGTGTCACTTGACTAAAATACGCAGATGGTAATTACAGTGAAGGTATCCAGTTACTCCTTATCAGCTCAACTGCTGTAATTGACAGTCCATTCAAATTGTAATGTAAGATGGCTATTTAAATCATCTCTGTGATGGATGTGAACGACATGAAAGCAAGTTAATTTATGTGTATTTCTTTCTGTTCTCTATTTCCTGTTCAGCAGGACACTGATAATCTGGACTGAGAGTGTTAAATACATACTCTGAACAAGTATGGTACTATTTACTGTTACGTTTTCAGAGCAGAATCTGCAGCTTTTTATGTGAAAGTAGGAAAGTTTTTAAAGCTGCACTAAGGAAAAAGAATGGTACATATAAAAATGGAAAGCACTGTAGTGTATATGATAGCATTCTTAATCATAGAATTAAGGCAGTCAGTGCTTTTTTGAAGGTACTGGGTCTGATTTGAGAGACTCTTGGCAAAGTTTATTGAGTTGTCTTCTGTGGCATTGACACCTCTGGCAATAAATAAAAATTCTATCAGTCAGCAAAAGAGAATGAACAAAATACAATGACAGAGTAAAGAAGACTGATGTTTCTTGCTGTATGACTGTTGCTTATGGCTGTAATTTTTTTGCTGAATTTAAAGATGCAGCTGTGTGTGCTGGGCCAAATCTAGTGTCCATTAAATGAGTGAGACATTTTCAATTTACTTTAGGTTACTATCAGATAACACAAAGGTTGTTAAGTTGACCCTTCTTCCTTCCCAAGGGTTGACCACACTTCCATATCTGCTAGAAATTTTCTTTTAAGATCAGTTTTACAAAGTGCTTTGGCTGACTCTGGTTAAAATATAGAAATAATTTTTTTGCATATTGCTTTCTGTTGTGTACAAGTAGTCCAAAATTAGCCCTATATCATAAATCATAAAGTATTTTACTTGGATACATCTTATCATAGGGGTTAGTAGGTGTTCTGTTTTGTCTTTAAAAACAGAACAGAGAAGTTGTGGGAGCATTCTTTTCCCTTGTTTATGCCCATGTAAATCTGTGTCATGATAGTTGTGTATTTATCTTTGACTTTTAAAATTTATCCTGCCACAGAATTTTAACAGTACATTGTGCCTTTCAAATGGTAAGTCCATGTATATTCTCTTTAGTTTGAAAATAATTTTATCACTCAGTTAAAAATATTGCCTTGAGGTGTTATCTCACATTTTTCCTCCTGCAATCAAAGAGCAGATCCTGGTTCCTGCAGCTGTACTTATTTTGCATCTCTTTCCATAGTTGGTGTGAGTTTCTCTCCCTTCTGCTACCAGTTTCCAAAGTGCAAAACTTAGAACAGTTTGACTTGTTGTATCAGATTGCATTTTAGAGATCACTTCTTCAGAACATGACTTACTCTAAATTGAAATCCCATGTACTCTTGCTTTTCAGATCTGGGAATGTTAAAGATGGTTCTTTGGTGGCCTGTACATTTTCTCCTAATGGAAATTTCTTTGTCACTGGATCATCGTATGGTGATTTAACCATTTGGGATGATAAAATGAGATGCCTGTATAATGAAAAAGCACATGATCTTGGTGTTACCTGCTGTGATATTTCTTCGCAGCCAATTTCTGGTTAGTTATTTGATGCGTCAGGAGAGGAACATGGTAAAAATAGTTCTTTTATTTCTCTCTAGCTCTTGTTTTCATATTATTTTTGTCACCAGTGCTCAAGTTACAAATGACATTGGAAAGCGCTCGTTTTAGAATATTCTGAATATTCTTAATAAAGTTGTGGTCAGATTTGTGACAAGGAATGCACTAGGTCAACAAACAGGGTGATTAGCATGCTTATGATAGCTTGAAGTAGCAAATTATGCTGTCAGGGTTTTGGAAAATGTTTGGGCAGTGTCTGTAAGTAAAGCCTATCTCCTAGGGCTAACAAAGTTGTTAGAAGGTGCAGTGCTTGATTACCATTCCCACTTTACTCTTTCCTGCTTCCGTTCCCCAAGGAGCAGGACTGGATTAAAGCAATGCAGAGAACTATAAACCAAATAAACCGAATGCTTGAGCTGTGGGATGTGAAAAGGTAGACTGCTTTCCTGCACCAGCTTTCTCAGTTGGAGGAATTTGGGGGAGCAGTGAGCCCATAATTTCATGTGTCCCACTAAGATGTAGTGCTGTTCAAATGTTTTACAGCTGTTTTAGCTGACCTCACTCTATAAGTTGCATTTCAGTTTTGACATGTGCTTCTTCACAGTCAGGATGGTCAAGAACTTATTTTTTTCTTTTGAGAATGAAATCTGATTTTCTTGTATATATTTGGGTTTTGAGATCAAAAACATAAGGCGTAGTGTAGGCCTTTCTCAGGGCTGCAGTGTGTATTATGTTTAGTTTTAAATCATTTCACATTTGTAAGGCTTTCTGTGGAACTAAAATAATTAGAACCTGGATTTATCTGTATGCAAAACCATAAATACTGAAAATTGCATACCTAAACTTCCAGATATCTCAGGGAAAGCTTTGCATTTGTGTATACCGGCTTTGCTTTAACCCTGGTGGGCAGCTCATCCCCACATAGCCGACTGCTTACTCTCTCCCAGTGGAAGGAGCAAAACTGCAAAGCCTCATGGGTTAAGATAGACAGTTGAATAGGTAGAGCAAAAGCTGGATGTGCAAGCAAAGCAAAAGGTGGAATCCCATTGGCAGGAAGGTGTTCAGCCATTTCCAGGAGAACAGAACTTTGTCATGCATAATGGTGGCTTGGGAAGGCAGATGCTGTAACTCCAAATGTCTTCTGTTCTTCCCCCAGCTTTTACTGCTGATAACCCTTTGGTCAGTTAAAAGGACATCCCTTGGGTCAGCTGGGGTCAGCTGTCCGGGCTGTGTCCCCTCCCAGCTCCTTGTGCCACCCCCAGACACTCGCTGGTGGGTCGGGTGAGGATCAGGAAAGGCCTTGAGGCTGTGCAAGCCCTGACACAGCCCTGTGTGATCAGCACTCTCTTGGTCACTGTCCAAAGCGTAGCACCATAGGACCTACTGTGAAAAAATTAACTCTGAAGAGTTGCACGTCCAGGCTTACATATCTAGTATAGCGTGAAGAAGCATTTGCGCAACCAAGAACTTCTATTTGAAATATCCTGGTAGAATTTAATTGCAGTACAGGAAAGTGTCTTTGCCAAACAACCAAATACTGGAATTTCTGAAATATTTATAAGATTCTGAAAAGCTCAAAGGTTAATTTGTATAAATTTTCGTAATGTAAAAGTGTTTAATAAAGAGTTAGAAAATCACTAGGTCATCTACTTTTGATGGTGGTTGAGAAATTGGGCAGAAGGTTTATTGTTAGATTTGGGAAGTAATGCTGTTACTTGTCTTTTCAACCCTGTAGATACACTTTTGTGCTTTCCAGATCTACTATGGAGAAAAAGTGGTCTCCATAAAGATATGTAGGCTTCTGTTTTCAGAGTACACATGAGCTGCCCTTTCAAAGGTACCAAAAATTACAACTGAGCATCTGCTTGCCGCTTTCAGTGCTAAACACAGCAGTAAGTACTACTATCTGTGTACCGCCTTATCTAAGTAGGTGGTACAGAGCAGGAAGAAAGCAGAATAAGCAGCCAAAAAAAGCAGGACAGAGGCAGGAGAGAGCTGAGGAAGGATGTGAGCATATGCTTACGGAGAATTAGTGACTGACAATACCAAGTCAATCAGATGTGTGTCCACTGAAAGGTTTAGGGACAGCACTGAATTAATCTGTTACAACAGAAAGGGAATTAATCTTTAAGTAACACCTCTAGATCTTTGTGAAAATACTATCCAGAAAACTTCACTGTGAACTAAGAGTTGCAGCTGAGGGCAAGGGAATGTGTTGAAGCTGAAACAGGTCAGAGTGTAATTTCCACAGCTCCAATTCCTCTTGATATTATTCTCTTGGTTTAAAAAAGTATGTTACCAGTGCTTCAGTCTTCACCCTTCTGCCAAGATACAAATATGCAAGAAAGCAAGTATTTCCTGCATTGTGGGTTTTTTTAAGCTAATTTATGATCATTCTTAATTTTATTTAAGCCATATGTTATTGAAAGTCAACATTTTTCCTTTTTGTGTGTTGCTGTTTAATCACCAGGGATTGAAACTTCTGGGATTATTGGCAGTTTTAACACATTACAAAATCCATACAAGTAGTGCTTATTCAGTATGATTAAAGATGGTTTTAGATTGAGACTCTCTTTACCTGCTTAATTCAGAGCAAAATTAGAAATGCAGTTTTTGGTTGGTTCTTTGTGCTTTAGACTATTTGTAACAGATGTTTCTCATACCTTTAAAGTGGATTCAGTCACAGTTGCATAGAAGCTTGTCAGATCTAGAGCATTTGTAAAGCTGTGTGAGCTTTCCCATCTGACTGCAAAGTTTCAGTGCTGTCCTCCTAAAGAAGTAAACTTCAGTGAAATTACCTAGAGATACTGGTAAAAAATGTGCAGATCTTGCTAAAATTTTCTAGTGAACCTCAGTGGAAGACAGTGTAGTCCTCCTTCAAACTATCCCGAAGAGTTGTGTACAACAGTGTAATACCCCATTAACACGTTGGTAACTTAAAATGTCAAAGTCTGCATCATGACAGAATTCTCATGCAGACGAGGTTTCCAAGTAACATGTTCTTAGTTACAAAGAAACGTGTGTTTTAGCAGCATGATAGCTAATGTGTGCTACTCATCTCTCCATAAGACCCAAATCTTACACTGTGGAATCCCAGCAAAAATTATGCACTTTGGTGCTTTAATGTTTCACAGATTTGAGGTAAGTCCTAAGATCTACCACAGTCACAGTAGCTCTTGTTGTTCCTGTGAACAAACAGATCTGTGTATACTAGGATTTTATTGTGATAACAATGTGAAAGTAAAATACACTGTGTAGTGCAAAAATGGAGATAAAATCTTTGGGGTTGTTTTGTAAGACACTTGACAGCAAATATTTTGACATTTCTGGTAACAACAGAGCTGGAAAGATGAGCCTTTAAAATGTCTGTCACAATTTTCTGATTGGCAGCCTTAATCCTGGTGATGCTGGTAGGAGTTCAAAGACTTGGTACTGGCAGAGGAATGCTACTGAAAGATTGTTATGGTGACTTGTGTCAGGCTGATAGGCCAGCTCAGTGGAGTAGAAGAGCAGAAATAATTTGGCATGGGATGTAAAAAAAAAAAAAAATAAAATTATAATGGGCTGAAACAACACATGAAGAATGGAACATGATAATTCAGAAATGTTCATATCCACTAAGTTGAGAGGGGAAAGTTATAAAATTATTACCACTTTATTTCATCTTTAATGCAGTATTTCTCAAGTAGTTGGCTGGATTGCAGTCATGAAACGTCACTTGGTTTATAAAAGTGAAAAGTTGAACATTTAAAATTACTAAAATAGCCTGTCATATACTCTCAAATTTTGTACATGCATATGTGGTTAAGTTTGAGAACTACTGAACTGTAGAAGAAAGATAGAACCATGTAATTTGGTTAAAAGACTATTTTGTTTCACTCAGTAGATAGAGGAATAAAATACTTACCATCAAGAAAACTTAAAATATGAGCTCAGTTCTGGTTTTTATCTGCTTGTTCAGGAAACAGTATAACAGTGATACCTATTTCTTTCTTCTAAATGCTTTTAGAAGTTCTGCAGTTATTTTTATTAACACTTTAAAAGTAGTACTGAGATTAAGGAAATGTACCAAATTCCAATGTAAGAATGATGATGTATTTTTACTGACGTGCTGTTATTTTCAGTGCTTCTGATTCCCATTAATACATTTAAATATTATCAGGTGGTGAGCATGGATTCACATACTTCCAGATGGCTTCTTGTGGTCAAGATAATCAGCTCAAACTCTGGCTTATTTTGTTTGCAGATTTCTTAGGTGTGTGATGGTTTTTTCATATTCCAATGTCTTAACTCTTTAGTGACAATTTAAATATAGGATCAAAAGTATGCTACTGTCATGGATTCACAGCCAAACTAACCACAAGTTCAAAGTTTTCTTTTAATCGTTTAGCGCAAGAGCAGCTAAGTCACGCAGCACTTTGTGACATTGGACCCTGTACATTTGATTTAGTGATCTATTTACCAATAATAGTAAAAGTGAAGATTTTAAAAAGAAATTCACCCAATTCCCTCAAACTTCTTGTGATAAACATTCGGTTTTGTTAGCATTTTAATCAGTAACCAGTGGTAACCAATAGCATTTCTACTGTGGCCTTTGAGTAGATTGGTAGGTTGAAACCTCTTAATCTACCAGGCCAGGGAGAGGTTTCCTTTCAGCTTTCAGTACATCTTGGCCATTGAGCAAGAGCTGGAGAAATGAAAACAGTGTTGGCTCCTGCTAAAACTGCAGTGTAAGATGTGTGACTGCTATGTAGAGACTAGGCAGATGGCCAAAAACATCTTTAGATGGTATTTTTTTGTAATGTCTTTTATATAGAAGTCTGTAAGATCGAATATTCTGTCTAAAACACTGTATAGGCATGCTAAGACTACTAATTGGGGAAGTCAGAGATGTTAAAATTAAGTTGTCTCTGTGATCTTTTATCACCTTTTTTTGTAGACAGTGTGTCACAGAGTCAAATCTTTGGTGCATGTTTATGCTTCTAAAAGCAGCTTGTCTTACAGCTTGTCAGATATGTCCATATGTAATAATTTACTTCTTGTATTTTTAGGTGTTGAATTAAAATATAAATGCACATTGAATGGACATTCTGCCCCAGTTCTGGCTTGTGCATTTTCTTATGATGGGCAGATGTTAGTTTCAGGGTAAGCAGTATCTTTTACTTGTTTAAATTTCATGCAGATGCCTGTTCAGGTTCATGCTTCAGTATTGTAAAATGAAGTTCAAAAGAGTTGGAGATTTAAAAATATATTTTTCAAGAATTAAGCAGTAGTTCTGTGACCTCCAGAACTGTTGAAGTGTCTTTGCAATTGGTCTGTGTCTTGTGGGTGATTGAGTTTGAAATCTAGGATGTTGCAAGCTCTGTTCTCTTGAGTGTTGTAGTGAGTTTCCTGATTTCCTGGTTTTGGGGCATATATGTGGCCTTTCATATGGATATTCTCTTATCTATTAAAAATAAAAATCTACAGTGCAGTCTTACCGTCTCTTTGGGACACCATTTAGGATTTCCTGCTAACTCATGCACTTTCAGGAACTTTTTAGAAAGTTAAATATCTTGAGATAGATTTGGTTGGAATTCAGCATTTCTTCACTGATCCACACCCGGACTATGGCAAGATAAGCCTTTTTTCCATAAAAAGTGCGTGATTGAGATAATTGTAGTCCTGTGGGTTTGATGTCAGCCCTGTACAGAATAATGGTTAAGATCCAAATTAGTCATCAGCCATCAGTTAGAGACTAATGCTATTACCAGTCTTTGTTAGAGGGTCATAAGGGATTTGCCAGTGTCAATCCAAGGTCACTCTGTCATGTTTGAAAGGCTCAGGAGGGTGGAGGTCGTGGCAAGATTGCTGATGCCTGGAAAGATGCAAATGTCACACCTCCAAGAAAGGGAAAGGATCCAGGGAACTACAGGCCAGTCAGCCTAACTTCCATCTCTGAGAAGGTTATGGAGCAAATCCTTCCAGTGGGCTTGGAAGCCATTTCCAAGTACAACGTGCTTGGGGAAAGCAGCAGGGATTGAACAAGAGCAAACTGAGCCTGACCAACCTGACTGCCTTCTGTGATTTGCACCTCAACTTAAGCAGGGCTTTTGACATGGTCTCCCGATGTCTTGCAGTCAAATTGGGAGGTATAGATCAGAAAGGTGGATGGCAGGTTGTGTGGGAAAATGGTGGGACTGACAAGTTCAAATTGTTGTTGATGCTTAGCAGCACTAAGATGAACTGGCAGCTGGTTGCTAGTGGCATTCTGTAGGGATCAGGCTATTGAAAGAGGAAATTATAAATAAGGTAGATATTTAGGTTTTTATGAATATTAATGACTATGCTTTTATTCTGCACTTCTCATGAGGAATGCTTAATCACTTCTGAACTAAGTGGCAACTTGAAATAAATAAAATGATTCAACTCTAAAGTTTAATTGGCTTTTTTATGAAGACTTTCTAAACTGAAACAGAAAGAGTGATGTCTTGAAAAGGAAAAAGAAAAGACTACAATAACCAACAAATAAATGTAAAACTATACAAGCCCCAGGAGACAATACCTTGCTTTGACATTTTGCTTTGTATTCTTTTTAAGGGAGTCTTTTCCAGTATCTGAAAATCATTGTGAATGTTTGTGATCTAGAGTTACTTTATTTTCCATTAGACATGTGGATTATTGTTTTCGCTTATATTGTCATAAGTGAAATGAAATGTCTATCCCATAGAGCCTTTCAGGAAACACTGCTGTCATGGTAAATAACTGCAGTTTGTATTTCATGAAATACTTTATGTATTGGTTGCATTGCACCACTATATTTTATGTATTGCATTGCACTACTTCCTCTAGCTTGCTTTGCAAATGAAACGGTTTCAAAAATAAATAGAAGTGCTGAGAGGAGATCATGGATAGCCAGATTATGTGCATCTGCTTTACGGATACTGCTTGCAAAGGTAATTGCTTGGTACAGACAGTGGGGAGCCATGGGAGTGGAGGCCAGTTTGCGTAAGCACTGTGCAAATCCTCTACATCAGAAATTCTTGTGGAAGTGCAGAGTTTTCGTATTTAGCTACTGTTGTTTACATCATGCTGGAGGTACAGCTAATTGTCATTTTAAGGTGGGCATGGGTGGGGTGGATTTAGATATCTGAGCTTTAATAAAATGGTGGTAAGAAATCTGTTTGCTCTTATTTTGTTTGTGGAAGAGGTTTTTTTCTTCTTAATTAAAAATATTTTCCTTTTTCCTCTCTGCATCATTTTAATGTCGATGTGTTTTTTTTAAAAGGTCTGTGGACAAGTGTGTCATAATATATGAAACTGTAAGTATAGCATAGTGCAATATCGTTCATTCGATTGTTGTCTTTAAATGCTAGCACTGCTTCTACAGTGTCTTATCAAATAAAGAATTATTAAAGAATAGAAACTATATAAACTCCAAATATTTACTGTGCATTTGGGGCAGGGGGGAAGAAGCTTGAGGAGGAATATCTCTCGAGAATTACTCAATCTTTCTCACTTCTTATTTACATTTCTTTGAGGGTTTTGTTATTTGATTTCTCTACAACAGAGTATTAATTAATTCCATACTTACATTTTATCTTTATATTAAAATAGAAGGATTTTTTATTATTCTAAATTTATCTTAACTTACAAAACAAGAAGGACTTTTGACGTAAAATTTGGAATGGTGATCAAAGAAATGCTTCCGTTAATTATACATAAAGTGCACATAAAATAGAAGCATAGAATAGAAGCATAATAAAGAATTCAAGAGAATTTTTATGTTAAATGGAGTGTCTCTTCTTTAAAACATGTTGTTTAGGTATTTTCTGTAATACTGTTATTATGTCCTTTGTGGTTCACATGCAAGTGGTATTTACGTTTAGTACTTTATGGTATTAATAATAATTTTGCTGAAAATGAAGGATGAACAAATTTTAAGCTTTTCCAGCTTGCTCTGCAATTCTATTGTACTGATACAATTTTTCAGTTAGGGCTAAAGTTCTTCACCAAAGTCACTAGTATGTAAGAAGTCCCCTAGATTTTTGGATCCCCAGAAAATTGTAAGATGCAGAGAACCATGTAGTATTTCATAATGCTATTTGTCAGGTTTTGTGGCCTTAGGTTTTTACCAAATGGGACAGTAACTTCCATAGCTGTTGAGAAGTAGGGACAATAAACCTTCATGGGACAGAGAGAGATTTCAGTCTAAAATAGGGCACTTTCCTCATCGTGGACAACTCAAAAAATTAGAATACTGACTGATCAGTTGATTCAGAGTAACTTTGCTCTTTGTCTTTCGATCTGTTTGTACCTGTCAAAGAAATAGTATCTTTCATAAGGAGAAAAATCTTTCAAATAGTAAGTTAAAACTATGTGGAAATTCAGGAATTTACTTTTTAGTAGCATCTAGTGGCCAAACAGGAGAACCACAGGTGCGATTTAGCAATAATAAGCAATGTTATTCCTTATTTTGAAAGAAAGTATACAAATGAATGAACGTTCTTTTTATTCTTTAAGATTTAAAATCATAAATATTCTTTTACAGAGTACTGGCAATATCCTTCATACTTTGTCTCAGCATACCAGGTAAGAATTCAGTATGATTATTTTGGTTTACTGGCAATAAATAAAATAAATCTTTGTGAATTTTAACACATTTATTTTTATTTGCAGATATGTTACAACTTGTGCTTTTGCACCATGTAGTCCCTTACTTGCCACAGGTTCAATGGATAAAACTGTGAACATATGGCAGTTTGACCATAAGCAACCCTGTGCAGGTTAGTGTGTGAAGTATTTTTAATCCGCTCTTTAAATTTAAAGCACAGTATTCTTGAACACCATCTGAAGATGCAAAAATGCCATTTTTTCTTACGTGCAGTTAGTTTGTAACTTCAGGATTATGTGCATGTTATTTATCTTTTCTCTGAATTGATCTTATTAATGTCCCATAAAGGTATCATTTTTTTTTGTTTTTTAAAGAAAAGATATACAAGAAGTATTTTATTAATTTGCTATGTCTTCTTTTCCGATATTCACAATTTCTTACTCTCTGGACAACATTTAAGAGAGAAATATTATTCCCAGAGTGGTGAAAGACTTTTTGGACAAGTATCATTGGCAATGATTTAAGCAGGAAAGATGCTAATAGCAAGCATAATTGTCAACATGAAATACAGCTTACCAGTTGCTATAGATGAAAAAAACAGGATAATTAATGTCACAAAAAATACCAGCACTTAAAGTATGTGAAACAAAGGTACATAGATCTTTGTTCAAGCACGAGAGTAAGTCTGGTGTTTGGTGTGCTTTTCTAAGGAGGGGTGAGACTTGGTTTCAGTGTCTGATGATGCTTTTCTGTTTTCTAGTTCAATTCAATTTGACAGAAGTTTAGACATCTGAAATATTAAATTCCTCTAAACTTGAAAACTGATAGGTAAAAGAGAAACATAAATTATTGCCCCCCACTAAAGTAATGTCTAATAGACACTTCTTTTATTAGATGTTGGGGAATCTGTAGTACTGAGAACACTTGAAAAAGCATTCATTACTGTCATTGTTCTTAGAACTGAGGCTTTTTTCATTGTTGTTTGATTTGGCTTTTTGGTGTGTGTGGGAGGGGGTTAGGGGAGGTGTTGTTTGGGGCTTTCTTTAACTGTCTTTTATCTTTCTTTGCCAAAGGAAATACTGTAGAAAATGAATCTAAGGTGGCTGTTGAGGAGTGGTCAGAGGATGATGTTTCAGCCTGGCTTTGTGCACAAGATTTAGCAGACTTCGTTGGGCTTTTCAAAATGAATAACATTGATGGCAAGCAACTACTAAATCTTACTAAAGAAAGTCTGACTAATGAATTAAAAATTGGTAAGAGTATAGAAATCAAAATAGCTTCTGATTTTTAGAGTAAGTGTGAAATGTTGGAATGAAAGTGAATTAGGACTTCCATACATGGATTTTTTTCTGCCTGAAATGCATTTTTATTTAATTACAAGGACTGATAAAAACCCCTAATGTCACATTATACTTTTTTTTTTTTTTCCATCCCCCCCTTCCTTTGTGTTTGCTTATACCTAGAGATGTAAAATGCACTTCCACCAACAGTGTGTTAAGTGGTCTAACCTGCTTTTGTTTCTAGTTTCCTTTTAGATCTTGTATCATTAAGCTCTGGAAAAGGAATTTCAGCTTTTGTGTATACTTAATGATTCTGACTTTGGTAAATAGGGTACTCTATAGTTTTTTCCTATCGCTTGCAAAAGTGTCATGTTTATAATACTGTGTGGTCGACTACTTGAATTTAGCAGTGAAATTCTTCAGTGTACTGTTACCATAATAGACAAACACAAGGTATGTTTTAGTTTTTGCTTATTTTGTAGATGAAGTATTTGATGTTGACATTTAGTGATGATCAAGCAAGAGTTGCCTGGCTCAGACACTTTATAATTCATCAGGTATTCCAGTTAATACATTGTCCTATCACTTTATTGCTAAACTGTGTTTATGTTTTAGAAGGAATCACAAGGAAGTGCTACATTAGTAATGATTCCACAGCAGTTATTCTGAAATAAGAAATTTAAGGATGGTGAATTACACTGGAACTTTCTGAATATAAGTTCCCTGTTCATTTTGATGGCTAGATTTAGGTGTAAATAAGGTGCTGGTATGTTTGCCAGTGTGAGATCAAGTATAGAAAAAGGCTGAGTTAAGAAACCTTTTAAAAAGTATGGGTTTATTTTTAGAAATTAGTATTCTTCATTGTAGGAAGACTGCTCCCTTCCTTTTTAATTTTGAGTGTGCATGGTATTGGTCTGTATCAGATCATAGTATCTCTGTGTATCAGCCAGCGCTGTTGAATTCTATAAATCAACAGACTTGCTGGGAATCTGTCAGGAATTGTCATCCATGAAAGACACTTGGCTTCATCAGTTTCTGCACACGTTTTCTTTTAACATTGGATTAGCCTAAAAGTGTTGCAGCAGTCACCAGCTGAGGCTAATCAAATAATGCTGACTAGAAAGTTATGTGAGAATTGAATGCAGTGTGACCAATGATAAGGACTGACCTGCTGAATATATCATTCTCTGTGGGGGAAAAAAATCAACAAAAGTATGTGTTAACTCCTAGGTTTGTAATGACACTCTCAAGAACCATTTCAAACTCAAATAAGAAAAGAAGATCTGAATTGTAAGAGCCCATTGTAATGCAGACTGTAAGATGCAAAGGATGGATTTGGCTATTAGACAGAGAACATACAGATTACAGGCTGGTTATGGGAAGCTGTTGCTTTCTGTGTCATTTACTATAAAAGGACTGATCGTACATATGAGCTGAAGTAGCTTCAGTATGTTCTTTCCCATTATCAGGTAAAATGCTCATTGCTCAGTATGTGTTCTCAAGACTTTGGTATCTTGCCATGCTTTTTCTTCAGTAGGTGCTTTATCACCCATCATAAGATTATAGGGTAAGAAGTCAGATTTTCACAGGTATCAGGCAGCTATGAGAAATTTTTTAAAAAGCTGTAACTGAAATCACTTACTGACTTAATAAACATGAGCTACTCCACAAATACGAACCAGCCTGTATGCAGTGTAAAGCAATGAGTTCCACTTTAATGGTTATATGAAAGATACTTTTAAAACAAAATAGTGAAATATACTACTCAAAGTCACCGAATAAAAGAATTGAAATCAGTCAATTCTGAAGTGGTAAATGCTTGTGATTCTGCTTCTACAGATCATTCTACAACTATAATTGACACATAATAGAAATCACAGCTTGATATAGTTGACTTGAAGAATTGCTCTCTGTCTGGCATGGCTCAAGCATTTACAAAATAGGAAAACACTATCTGCCCAAAATTTGCATGCTTTTCAGTGTTACTCAAATCCCAGTGTAACTAAATTCTAGTAGTCTATCACTATACAAATACTTGAATGAGCACATCTTTTCTCTCCTTGATAACCTGTTTTCTTTGCTCTAAGAATGCAACATTAACCAATTCCGTAAGATCTTACCAAAGAACTTTTGAGGGTTTTTTACAGTCTTTGCAAAGGGAAGATTTTTTAGACAATATTATGTGATGACTGATAGGATAGGAGCTTTTTCTTCTGTTATTTTATTAGTTGCTTACTTCTTGTCCTGTTAGTCTTTGCTTCAGCTGTGATTTGCATTTAATGAACAGAGTATCCTCATGCCTTTGGGTGTGTTTAAGAGAAAGTGATCAGAAAATGGCTTACATAACATTTCATTAGGTTCTTTGATTTTTCTTTTTTTTTTTTTTTTTTTTTGACAGCTTTTTGAAAGAATCCTTTATTACCATGCAAATGGAACTAGCCTTTTTCCAACCTAATTGTTATATAATATAAATAACACTGTATTAAACTCTATAAGATGCTGAGCAAGCGTAAAGTGGCCATTATATACATTCTGGCTGAAAATCTTGTGCATATTTAACAAAGTTCAGGATTTCTCACTTCTAACAGACACAGTGACACTTTCATTGCAATTCGGTGATGCAGCTAAGTCAGAAAAAAAAGAATACACATCCTCTTCCAATTCAAAATAGAAGGTGGAGGTACACTGTTCCATGCCTGCATATTCGTTTTCCTGTTAGGTTAACTGAATGTGTTAATGTAAGGTGAATCTTAACTTCCGTTTGTTTGCAGAGGATGGGCAGGAGGTGAGACTAAGTCTAATTTTTGGAAAACCACACCTTCAGTTTAGGGGTTAGTGCCATACAGAGTATTTTTATCACTGTAATATCACAACTTGTAGAGAAGTTGGAGGCATGCCACATACTTTCCCTTCTTCTGCAGCACACTGAGAGACTTCTTTTCATGTGACTATCCTGATTTACGTTAGGTATGGAAAGAAAAGAGGTTTTCTTAAAGACAGCTCAACCCTTTCCTCACTTACTGCAGCATGTCCTTAGAACCTAAATCAAGGATGAATACTCATAAACGGAATTTTTAAATCTTGAATCCAGCTGACTTTGTCTTCTCTTCATCAGAAAAGTGCTGTCGAAGATGTGGGGTTTTTTTCTCTTCCTCTTTTGAGTTTAAGGTTTCACTCTACATAGATGCAAAAAGTATGAGCAAGTTCTTTCCTGTGTCACATTTTTATCAAGAAACTCTGGGTCTGAGAATGATCTTGAAAACAATACTTTGGAGCTGAATTTGAATCACTTGTGATTCACCGTGCTTTACATGTATACTGAAGTAGGAGTGAACTTTGGGGGAATTACTCAGTGTACATTAAACAGAAAATTGCATGTGCTTTGCCTATATCAACAAAATCTCATTTTAAGTGTTCTTTTATAATGAGTTTTCAAAAGATGATGTGTGATGGACAATTCTTTAATCCCTTACTAGAGATTTAATCAGGAGGTAGTTAACTGAAGTGCAAACTGAATGTGATAATCTTTAATCTGTTTGCATGAGAGGAATTTAGGAAAAATTGCCCATGTGCTGAAAATTGTGGAAGATGCCATCAAAATCCAGTTATAACTATAGAATTATTTGGCTCCTTTTTAATCTTCCTTTCCTTAGGTTATATTCTTAATATTTCTTGATCTGAAACTGATCTTGTAGATTTTTACAAAATTGCCATATAAACTCTTCCTAAGAATAAGCATGAACTTCTATTGTATTTCAGTACTGTATATCAATTCTTACATTGTCCTTATCTTTACATATGTCATTACATAATCCTTATTAAGGAAATATAGGTGAATTTTTTTCTTTCACATATATTTTTCTTACTCTGACATCTGTTGTCTTTGCTGGTTGAAATGACAAGTATCCATGTGACTGAGTTTTACCCATTTGTGCACATTGTTTGAGGCAGCTGATTAATTGTACTGCTGGAAGCACTGGTGTGTTAAGGCCAGTCTGCATGGCAGTCTGCAGATGGAGTAGAGCAGTTCGCTGTAAGACTGTTTGCATCAACTCTTTATTTTAGTACTGAAGATGGAAGATTAACCAGAGTAGCAGCTAGTATTTACCACTACTAGGTGGGAAGAACTGTCACACATTACACCCTCAGGTTTCTTGACATCAAACAGTTTTTAAAAGGAGGAATGTTTTATGCTGCTGCAGGATGAAGATTACTGATATGTGGGATGCATTTCCAGTCTTGACAGGTTAAAATTGTAGTGACAGTTTGTAGAACTATAAAATTACTTTTCTCATTGTCAGATTTCTTTTTTCCTCATCTACTCAGAATTAAGTTGGAAAGAATAGCTGCTGTCTCAAACACAGATATGACTCTTTTTTTCTGATTTGCAGCTATGGTATATTCTCAGTAAATAGGTAATAGTAAGAACTCAAATAAGTTTTGGGATGCTTAAATGATCTTGGGCTCCTTCATGGGGCAATATGTGTTAATTGGTATTTGTGATGCCTTACTGATCATGAAAAAGAGTGTATGCCACAATACGTACATTGTAGAGAAAAGAAATTCCAGGTCCCACAAACCTCAGATAAGTGTATTCTTCTTTATAAAAAACCCAACAAAACTAATGCAGTTTTCAAAGACAAAATACCAGCACTCAGGCTCCACAGGTCATTTTTATGAAAAAGAGATTGATTGTATTTAACCGAACTTAAATGAATGAATTGAATCTTTACCAAAACCGAAGTTTCTTACCTCTCACAATAACAGGCCCCTCTTCCCCCAGCCATCACCACCACTGCATTTTTATCTTTTCCTAAGGGTTTTTCTTCTCTGCTAAGAACCTGCTCTACTACCTTTACTTGTGATAGTGCATTACTGTATCTATTTTGAGAACATTAGTAATATGGTATTCATATACCATCAAATTTTTAAATACAAATTGTGAACACTAAGTATATGTTAGGCTGGACCTGTATGTCAGTATAAAAGGCAGTGATGACTAGGTTACTGGACATGTTAATGGTGCTTTTTGAAAACAATTTCTTCTGCAATGTTGTGCTCCCTGCCCAACGTATAAGACTGTGTTCACTTCCGGTCAGAAGTTACATGCATATTTTCAGCATGACTTTCCTCTTGGATACAGCTGTTTTGGTTCCCCCCACCTCACCCTAAATCAAATATGCATTATCTTTGTTTACATGGAGTGAGCGCGTGGTCCTTTCACAGCTTTCTGCTTGGGCTGTCTTCTTTGATAGTGAAACTATAAATGTAAGTCATTTAGTATAGCACTTTAGATAGCATAATTGAAGCACTTATATCTTACGTGCTTTGCAGGTAGTCGTGCCACTATGGTATTTTGTTGGGCTTTATTTATAGTGAATGAGAATTATACATTGATTCTGCAAAGTGTGTGGGAATAAACATAACTTGTGTGTCCCCACTCCCTCCCCTCCTTTAGTGGTTGGAATCAAGCATTAAACTAGATTGTGAACAATCTTTTTGACAGAGGTATTCCTAAAATATATCTCACAAAGTATAATCAAAAGTGATGAGAATTTATAAAATGCTTAGGTTCCCATACATTAGTCTCAATGTAATTTGTAAGTGTAAAGCCCTGCCATGAATCCAAATTTAAGTTAGCAGCATTTGTGCTATTTCATAATATCTAATTCTTTGCCAAACATTAAAAAAAAAAAAAACAAAAAAACAAAACCAAAACCAACCAACCAAACAAAAAACCAACAGAGGTGAGCAACTCATCAAGATACTCCTACGTTGCTCTCTGGAGCTGATAGAAGAGAACTTAATGAACATTTTCTGCGGTTAGTTTAGCACTACCAGTTTTGCACAGTGCTAGCGTCGGGGGGAAACAATCTTATGCATTGTAATAAAGAAGCTCCATTACTGAGACCTTGAAGAAAAGGTAGAGGTCTCTGTATCATCAGGGCTTCAGTATGTGTTACCCAGGTTTTTTAAGGTTTATCATAGTCTGGCCAAGGGGATTGTCTACAGTGAGGTTGGTTTTTTATTTTTTTACGAACGGACAGTTGAGAGGGAGTAAATGAAGTTTTATGATTTTATTGATACTGTATGAATGAGAGTGCAGCTTGTTGTAAAGGTGGTGCACTTTTCTGGGGACAGGAATGCCAGTGTACAATTTAATTGTAAAAATAAGTTATTTCCATTTTGATACAGGTTGCTTACACAAGCATTGCCTGAGTATTGAGGTACTGCAAGTCTTAAGACCTTATCTGTCATGAAATAGGAACATACAACAATGAAGTGTAATTTGCAGGCACACTGTGCAAGCACACCTTATGGTTGTTTTGATGCATTATTTGAAGACAGCAAAGCTACTGTTGATGCATCTTCACTTTATCGGCTTGAGAGCCTCTGAATTTAACAGTCTGAAAGAAAACAAGGCACAACCATAATTGAGTTTGTAGTTTTATTTTTCGATTAGGAGGACATTAATTTTTTAAAAAGATTAGGTTCAGGCATTATTCAGTCGTCCTTTTATGAGCCATAGGACAGCAATAATATACAGCAGGTGTAGTGTAATTGTAAGAGAGCTGTAAATGATCTTGTATGACAAAAGCTAATGTGAAGGGTAGGGGAAATAAAATGAATTATACTTTTACTGGAATGGTATGTCCTCACACTTAGTATGACTGGAAGGACACCACAGTCAATAAAAAAGAAGACAGTCCCTGTAATGTTAGTGGTATTCAGATTTTTACTCTGTAATTACTTTTTTAATCCCTTCAAACAGATAGTCACTGCGCCAATAGTGTGTTGTGCAACACATCAGGCATTCAGAGAAATGACTGTATTTGTGGCTTGAAATTAGTTCTTTACGCTGTGCCAGCGCCTTTTATTTTGGATCTTGCCACTTTTATGCCTTGTATTAAATTTAAAACAACTTTTATATCAACTTAAATGTTTTAAGATTTCAAAGTTGTGTCAATATTTTAAAACCATTTTTCTAAGACCAGTATTAAAAAATCGTTCTAAGATTTGTTGATGAGCTTTTTCACAGTCCCTCTGGCAAGGTAATGTTTTTATTTTTTTTTTTTAACTGTGGCACAGTTGGAAGTTAAACACTCATTCTGCCGTTGTAGAGGGGAAGAAAGACACAGCTAAGAAGTGAGTAGGTGTGATACTTGCCATTCAGCAGAAATCAGCTTCACAGGTAGACTGACACGATCTAGGGAAAAAAGTGGGGTATCAGGAAGGTAATTTTGCATACATGCTATCATAGGTTCATAGAATCACAGACTGGTTTGGATTGGAAGGGACCTCAAAGCCCCCCCAGTGGCACCCCCTGCCCCGGGCAGGGCCCCCTTCCCCCAGCCCAGGGGGCTCCCAGCCCCGTCCAACCTGGCCTTGAACCCTGCCAGGGAGGGGGCACCCACAGCTGCTCTGGGCAACCTGTCATGGAAAAAAAGAGTTCTTCCTCACCCCCAATCTAAACCTACCCTCTTTCAGTTTAAAAGCATTTCCCCTTGCCCTGTCACTGCAGGGCCTGGTAAAAAGCATGTGTGTCTCTTTCTTATGATCCCACCTGATATATTGAAAGGCTGCAATCAGGTCTCCCCACAGCCTTCTCTCTCCAGGCTGAACAATTGCAACGCTCTCAGCCTTTCTTCACGGGAGAGGGGTTCCAGTCCTCTCCTCACTGTTGTGGTCTCCTCTGGACCTGCCCCAACAGGTCCGTGTCGGTCTTGTAGTGGGGACCCCAGAGCTGGACGCAGTGTTCCACGTGGGGTGTCATGAGAGAGGAGTACAGGGGGAGAATCACCTCCTTTGACCTGGACATGCTTGCTTTGATGCAGCCCAGAATATGGCTGGATTTCTGGGCTGCAAGCACACATTGCTGGCTCATACCTAATTTTACATCTACCAACATTCCCAAGTCCTCCTCTGCAGGGCTGCTCTTGATCCATTTGTCCCCCGTTCTGTACTGATACTGGGGATTGCCCTTACCCAGATGCAGGACCTTGTACTTGGCCTTTTTTAACTTCATGAGTTGGCCTACTCCTCAAGCCTGTCAAGTTCCCTCCAGATGGCATCTCTTCCCTCAAACGAATCAACTGCACCACTCAACTGTCATCTGCAAACTTGCCAAGGGTGTACTCAATGCCACTGTCGATGCCACCGATGAAGATATTAAATAGCATTGGTCCAAAGTATAGACCCTTGAGGGACACCGCTCGTTACTGGTTTCCATTTGGACATTGAGCTGTTGACTGCAACTCTTTGGACATGGCCAGCTAGCCAACTCCTTATCCTTCTAACAGTCCATCCATTAAACCCATCTCTAATTTAGACACAGGGATGTTGTGTGGGACCGTGTTAAAGGCCTTACAAGAGTCCAGATGGATGATATCGATAGTCTTCCCTTATCCACCAGTGCAGTCATAGAAGGCCACCAGATGAATCAGGCATGATTTGCCCTTTGTGAAGCCATGTAGGCTGTCTCTAATCACCTCACTGTCATCCGTATGCTTTGCCATAGCTTACAGGAGGATCTGTTCTGTGTCCTTACCAGGTGGGGCTGACTGGTCAGTAGTTCCTAGGGTCCTTTATACCATTTTTAAAAATGGGTCAGTGAAACTGTAACTCAAACTGAGGAATGGAACCCCTACAACTGGCGTGTGGTTTTATTCTTGGTGCTGCGTGCTTCCATTTTGTAAATGGGCACTCATTGTTACCACTTACAGTGAAGGTGAATGCATGTATTAACGGTGGCCTGAATTCAAGTAGGAACGTGGTTCTGGATTTCCAGTACTAGAATCACAAGAACTCATAAGGCCTGGATGCAAAGTCTCAACCTCTGTGTGAGTCTAATTATGTGTGTTGTGCAGACATGGCTCAAAAATAGAAGATTAAATATATGCTAGTAAACCTATACTTGTGTGAATGATTCCACTTTATGTGGTTTTTTTTTTCCTCCAAGTATGCCGTGCAAAGAGTATAAGGAATGGGGGCCAGAAGTTCTTAATGGAGTCTCCTGATCCTGCTACAGTGTCAGTGAATTTTGCTGTCCTGCTTGGTGTAATATTCTACAAGAAGAGTGGTTGATGCATACACTTAGGAAGTGAGAAAGGTGGACATGATGCTGCACAGCTTAAGGCACACTGGAATCCAGACCACCTGATGCCTAGGGGCAGTGCTAAATCACTAAGCTGTTACACAGAGGATTGGAAGTGGAGTAAATACCACATCCTTCTCATCTTGTTTTGTGCAATGCTACATCAACAGCAGAGTCCTTCTGTTAAGTGTGCTCAGTCTTACTAGAATTAGACTTTTCGGGAGATGAAGCAGCCTCTGAATGTCTCCCTATTGATCTGTGCCAAATTTAGCACTTTATGTCCATAATGGTGACATATGACCCTATGCCAAAGTGTAGGGCAAACCTGGCCCTAAGGGTGATGAGTCCTCACATAGGTGCTTTGGTTTTAGGTGGTCCTCTCTTTGGAGGTGATGGCACTTGTGCACTCTTATACCATCGTATTTTTATTTCTGTAGTCCAGTTGCAAGGTAGAAACACTACTATCTTCCACTCTTGGTTTTTATGTACAGTTACCTTTGCGCGTACAGCAGTGTGTGCTGTTGTTATGCATCAACTAAAATGCTCTTCTGCCAGGTAGCTATGTCTTTGCAGCAGTGGTTTTACTGTTTGTTTTCATTACTCCACAAGTTTATTGTTAGCTAGCAGGAGTGATGTGCTGTAGTTTGAACTGTTTGTAGTGGTGGCTGGGGGTGTCTGCAGATTTTTCTGTATTAGGTGGAGGTGGTGAGATGGAACTGTGTCTCCTGTAACACAACTGCTAATTAATGCAAGACCTAACCTCTTTGCCTTACATGTCCGTTTTTTCCACTTCATGTATGAATAACTTTTCAGAGTCTCTAGGCCTGCGCAGTAAAGTCCTTCAGAAGATTGAAGAACTGAGAATGAAAATGATCTCTGTTTCTGTTACTATCCCTGATGAGTTCGTATGTCCCATAACAAGAGAACTTATGAAGGATCCTGTCATTGCAGCAGGTATGTCTTTAAATGACATTGACTAAAATTAATTACTTAAGGGTGAAGATAGGTGTGGAAACACAAAAATGGGCATATCTTATCAGTTGTAGAAATATAAGGTATACTAAATAGCTGTTGCAGGACGATAGAGGTGTGTTAAATGTTTAATTTGCCAACTTAGATCTCTGATATGGAGAAAAATACTGTGTCAAGCAATTTGCTCAGTGATGGGGCTGTATAGGTTTTTTTTTTTTTTTTTTTTAATGTTCCTTCCTTTATGTGCCTTTGCAAATATAATTACAAGCCTGATTACAATTGCCTTGGTAAGTGCAAAATGGAATTGTCCACACGGGGGCAGGGGAAACAGAAAATCAGGTTCATTACTATTTGAGCACACCATGTATACGGCACTTAAAAGTTCATACGGAATGAGGTTCATTTAAATTCAGCAAGACCTTGGAACAGAGATATACAAGGAGCAGAAGACGTTACGTAGTTAAAAACATGTTATGAAGAACTAGTGTTTTATAGTTCTGATCTTGGGGTCAGGGAAGGGGGGGCATATGATCATCAAAAGACCAGTATATTTTTTTGCTGCTCCGTAAACAGTGACTAACTTCTTACAGTTTTGAGGTATCAGGACAGACTTTTGAGAATTAAAACATTCAAAATATGACAACATTTGCTAACTGCCCGAGTAGTAAGCACTGCACTTCACAGGGCTTGAGCTTCTAAACAGTAGCAGTAGGAGGACAGCCTCGCATGTACTTTTTCTTGTATAATTTTGAAATAATACTATGTAGTTTTAGAGCAGGATAGTTTTGTTGAAAAGCTGAGAATTCCTGCCAGTCACTATTCTCATGTATATTTTTTAAGAGAAACTGTTGACCTTTTAAAACAAAATGGTCACAGGGTGTATGATCAATGATAGTATTCATTATCTGATAAATATGAATGCCATTCAGTATTTGTGTGTTACGCTGCTGTCCTTAACATGGGATTCTTCTGCTTTTCAGAACACAGGGCGAGCATATCTGGGCGTTCCTTACACTGCTTTATTTTTGTAGAAGTTGATGAATAATAACAGAACTGCTAGCGGTTGCAGCAGGAGAAAGGTTGGTTTATGGCAAGACAGGTGAAGGAAAGTATAGGTTTGTGTTTGGACACGTCTATATTCACTAGCTAGCTACTTCACTGCCCAGTACTACAGAACTGAAATTCCTGTAGTATGAACACAGCTAAGGTGTGGGCAGTTTTGCAGATTCAAATTTGAGGAATTTAGGTATTAAAAAGTAGAGATTAGAAAGTAACTAACTGACATGAGCTGGGCATTTTGTTTAGTTCAGTAAGCTAAGTAACAAGTAAGACTTTTATGCCTCTGTGCTACGTACAATTTAAGGAAGAATGAAAAGAAGGTAGAATGCCAAACTCTGTATTTCTTTTACTCAAGTGACCAGCCTAAATAAGAGTTTTTCCATGGTAAGTAAGTGGCTCATATTCAATGAAGGGAGAAGAAACAGAGTGTAGCCCTGTGTTAGAGGAGTGGTGAAGGTTACAGGTTTGAGTTCCATCAGACAGCGGTATTCCTGACTGATTGTGCTAATGCGTAGCTGGGGGGATGGGTTTATTCCACTGTTTCAGTTCTTTAAGTAGCAGCTTGTTTTGGTACCGATTGGAAGAGCTGCAGTCCTGAAACCAGGCGAGTGTGGAGGGTGAAGTGCGTGCCCAGGTCAGGGCTTGGTCAGGTGCATGCCAGCAGTGCCTGCTGAGCACTGCACAGGAGCAGCCCTTGGTTGTGCTAGCTGTCAGATGGTCACGAGCTTTTACTTCACAGGATCATTCAAACTGAAAAGAAAATCTTATTTAACACCTGCAAAACAGGTTTTGGTATTTTGCAGTTAGGGACAGAAACATGAAACTGGCCTGAACTGTTCATATTTATGGTTAGATTTCATTGTCTTTTTTATACCCCTTTACAGGGTTCTTGAAGTGAAAATTATTTTTAAAAACTTACTCGAGAACTTTAGATCCAACTAAATGGAAATGCTTGTTTTAAATTGTGATTAAAGTCTAATACCCAAAGGTGTGCAGTAACTTTAAGAGCAACATGACACTTAAGCATTTTTGGTACAGCACAGCCTTGATTTTTTTTTTTTTTTTTTTTTTTAATTTTTAATTTTTTTTTCAGAGTTCTCCCCTGATTTAGGCACTTTCCTTCTTTTTTTTCCCTCCCCAAATAACTGACATGCTGGTTTTATTACAGTAATGGTTCAGAACTCTGTCTTATTCTCTCCTGTGTCCTTAACTAGCAAGTACAAACATTTTCATATATTTTGCTAAGTATTGGGGTGGTAGCCGAGTATTACTTGCCAATGCTTGGTGAGGCTTCACAATGTCTACTATGGTGATGTTTAGTTCTAAATTACTCCTGAGCAAAGCAACTGCAGTTGCAGGCAACTTGATGAGCATCATCTAATTGTCTTTAAAGGAACTTTTTTTAAAGGAATTGAGTAAGCATGGTTGTTATAAATGCCAGTTGTCAATGCAATTTCCTGGCTAGTCACCTTGCAGGTTCAGTGCTTCTTAATTAGTCATGGAAGGCAGCTCTAATGATTCCTTTTTACAGCCTTGTAATTAACTTTATCCGTGCTGTATATAATGCCTTAACCACAAATAAGGACACAGGAAGACTTTATGTAATTTGGTCCTCTTTACCACTTGCGTACCTTGGTCACAAATTCATGTACGAACATGGCCTAAGCCCCATGACCTCATCCGAGACAACCCCTTGGGTGGGAAAGGACTAATTTAGCAAATGTCTATTGCTGGCACGCGTCTTTCTGCTAACAGACATGTGAGGCAAAAACTCCAAGCCACCCAACATCACTAGGGCGGCAAAAGAGGAGTGTAAAAGTAGAGCCTTTTCTAAAGAGGTCTGCATTTTATGTGTCCCCACCCCATGCTTACAGCTGTACCTGGTGCTCTGGGGAAAGGCTTCAGACAGGGCTGCAGGAATTTTTCACACAATACGCTGCTTTACAGTCATCAGTTAATTGATGCAGCTGTAACTGACCAATAAATTTGCAGTGCTTTCTAAACTAGCTTGTATTAGTTTGTGGAGTACAGTGTAATTTAAAAAGTTGAACCAAATTTTGATCTTAATAGTGCTGTATAAAGTTTTATTCTAATACATTTAACAATGTAATTTGAAACAAGTATGTATGAGTGCATGATACAGGTTTCACAGACTACGTAATTTTTCTAGATCTCAGTTTTCCTGTTTGGAACTACCGATTCCTTTACATCCTTTTAAAACTTAAATAGCTAAAAATCTGTACAGTCTTAACGATGCCCAAGCATCTGTAATACAAGCTTTTGATGATGGTTTCTTTGTAGATGGCTATTCCTATGAAAAGGAAGCAATGGAAAACTGGATCAGCAATAAGAGACGATCTAGTCCCATGACAAATCTTCCTCTCCCCTCTCTTATGCTTACACCAAACAGGACACTGAAAATGGCTATCAGTCGCTGGCTAGAAATGCAGCAGAAGTAGAATTAAACCGCTTAGTTTTGAGCTTGATTGTTAAAATTAATTGAAATTAAATTGTACGAAGCTAAAGGAAATAATTATAAACAAATGGAAAGAAAAAATTATGTTTCTGGTCTAATCTCTGGCTGTCATGTAAATGTTTGCTAGAAGGATAATGTTCACTGTTGGAAGCTTCCAGAAAACTACAGAAAAACTTCCAAGTTACTAGTAATTTTACTTTGTGGTATTCTGTTTGAGGAACAAAGCAGTCAGAGTCACAGTTTTTCAAATAAAGTTTTCTTTAAATTTTCACTACATTTATGAGTTTTGAGTCTTGATTTTGCCAGGTTAGTATGTCAGAAGATAAGAAATAACTATATAATCCATATTTGTTTTTCTAATTTAAAAAAAAATGAGAAATGTGTCTTTCTCTGTTCCCTATTACTGAACATATAGTTGGAAAGTTGGGAGTTTCTCCTGTAACCACATCCCACAAGTATATTAATAATCTTTATTTTGTATGGAAAAAATACAGTAGCTGTGCAAAAATAGAACTACAGAACAAGACTAATATAGGACTTGTACAAAATATCAAAGAAACAGTAAACAATAAATAAACTAAAGCATAATGATGCAAACTCAAAAAGAATTTATAAAAATGGGTATGGCTGTTTACAATGTACATAAAACACCGTACACAAACAAGACATAAAAAGTGACTGACTATGTAAAGTTGACCACTCCAACCTAATTGCACTCATAGGAATGTCATTACATCTGTTTATTTTCAGAATGTTTTTGCCAATATAAAACCTTGTATTTTCTCCAGAAAACTTCACAACTTCATCCTGTCATGCAACTGCACATACACTTTTCCTCAAACTTTCATCTTCGCTCCATCAATTTCTTGGGTTTCCCATAAAAACACTTTCTAAACTTTTCATTGCTGTACCTTTCTCATGAACAAACAATAAATCATTTTGCTTTAAGATAGCACCCAAAGGTGATTAGATAAACTATATAAAGTGCGTTTATTGTTAATATGCCATAATATTGTGTTCTTCAGTGCAATAACCAATATGGTCAAAGCCTTTCAATACACATGCAAATGTCACTGTTTTACTTGTCTAGTTACTAAAAATAGTTATATTTACAGGTCAAAAAACAGCCGCTTATAGTTTACTCATACACAAATTATTTATGCTTCCTAAATGTACATCAATCATGCAACCCAAATTAGATCCCACTAGAAAAGTGATAAAATACCATCTTTGATTTAAAAAAAATGCATACATATACAGATCTCAGTATTATGCAGGTATCTTAACACTGTTTTGAGAAGTAAGCACTTAAGCATTATAGAGGCACAATTATTATGTAAGTGGTGAGATATAATATAACCAAAAGCCAAGATTAAAGCCCTACAAAAAAAGAAACTCTTATTTAATGGGAAAATGTAATGGAAAGGATTTCTCTGCTTGAGGTCCTAGTTTGGTGGATCCTAATTGATTCTTTCTACACAAATTTGCTATTCCAGTTACTGTTTATTGTCCTGTGATGGTAGGAACAGTTTAAAGTGGTTGTGTCCCATTAAGTACTGGCCAACTTGGACTGCTTGCTCAAACTCACAAGTGACCAGCCAGTCAGTATTTTCTACAGGAGTTATACTCCGTGATGGTATGAGATAAGTTTTACAACCCTGTAAATATACAAAATAATATTTATACATTAGATTCAATGAATGATCGCTTTGGTTTTGTAGATGTGACATGACTTAGATGGCCTTCCTTACTGATGTGAGACTGCTGTTTTGATACAGCATCTGGGTATAAATGCGAAGCTTGTTTAGCTGCTCTGTTGTCTTGACAGTGGGTAGATATTTGGCACATAAGCTCCTCACGGTCTTTAGCTTGCATACAATTCTGGTTGCTATCACCTGGGCCAGCACCAGTAGAGGAAAGTTTAGCTTGGTGGTGTTTGACTGAGAACTGCTCAAAATTTGAGGACGGAATGCCCCCAGAAGCAACATTTGTTGATAATCCATCCGATGCCTGAGAGTGCCAAGTGCGACTGGATTGAGTATTTTGCTGCTGAAACCTTGCAGTCTTATCCGTGATTCCCATAAACGGGGTGTTGCGAGGTCTGTGCTCAGCAACAGTACCCTGAACTTGATTAACATTATTCTCCTTGAGTCGAACGTCTGGGCCTAGCCCCTTAATACTATCTGAAAAACTACTGGCTGAAGTTAAGCTGCCAGTTGAGCTGGCAAGAATCATACTACCGGCTGGGGAACTAGAAGAGACACCACTGGTTACAGGACTCTGCTGCCTTGCTTCACTGAAACTCACTGGAGGAGGGCCTGATAACCTGTCAGTGGTTTTAGACTTACTTGCAAAAGAATGAGAAGAGATATTCTCGTTATGCTGTGGATGGGAACACTGGCTGGACATAAACTTCTCATTGTACAGTTCAGAACTAGGACCTGTGGAAACACTTCCGGATGACAATGTGCTTGTCCCATCCAGATGCTGAATTTTAGAGTGCCGGACTGGCAAGGGACTTTGGGGAAGATGCTGAAAAGATGATTGTGTCTTTGTATTACAGTGACTGCTTCCTGGTTTTGATCCAGGCTGGATGGAGCTCAGGTGCTGATTAGTTTTTACAATCTGTGCCTGCTTTGTTGGCTGCATGATCAAGCCTGGCTCTCTGAGATATTTATTGCCTGTTCTGCTTTGAGGGGACACAGATCTAGCTTTCTGCTGAACACCTTCTTGAAGGGTCCTGCTGTATGATGAAGCAACTAAGGAACGTTGCAGCCTTTGTGGAGTGGAAACAGATTCATCAGGGTGTGGCAGTTCATCCTCCCTGTCTGGAAGATTAAAATTATCATGCACACCTTGTATAATGCCCTCCTCATTATCAGAGTAGTTAATTTGCTGTAGTAGCTGTGGAGACTGATGCTTCTGTTGCTGTGTTCTCTGGAACTGTTTGCATTCCTCTTCTACTCGAGCCAGGAGACGTTTTATCTCTTGATTGCTAGGACACAGCTGTGTGGCTTCACGTAAGTCAGCAAGAGCAGCAAGTAGCTTTCTGTTTAGGGACAAAAAAAAAAAAAAAAAAAAAAAAAGTAAGTAATAAAAACCTGGGGCAAATCTGAGTTTCAGCATTGCCTACTACTAGCCCATCTCCACCACCTTCAGGGAAATACTCTGATTTGTTATCTGCTGCTGGAGGTGGTGACAATGTAAGAATTGAATGTTCTCCTACCCAGGAAATTCTTTGCTATGGTGAAAGTGCAGACCCAGCCCTATAACCTTCCCCTTGTATTGTAGCAGCTTTTTCAGGAAGGCAGCATAAGTCTGCTGGTAACACTAGGAACTGTTATCTTCGGAGTGGGTAACTTGCTGTACTCTGCTCCATGACCATTTTTTGTTCTGCTTAGAAAAGACACAATCAAAAAGCTACCTCTCCCTATACTTCAACTATACACTAGAGTTCAGTATTTTTCCAGCTTAAAGGCATGGTTCCTCCTCTTTCCCCTTTTTTTAATCTTGAACTGCTAATGATTCAATGTATCCTGTCCTATAAAACCACCCAGTTATTCCTCGTAATAAATAATGCAGCACTGGAGTTCGGGGGCACACTGCCGACCACATTCTCCTGAGTCACCTGGTGTAGCAGTCCTGTTCACTCTTACACTTAAAATAATCCCTCTTCGTATCAATTTGTTACTTTCTTGACTGCCTAATAATTACCTAAATAAGTATTCAATATTGCTTTTTGGGTTTGGTTGGCTTTAACTGAGAGACCTAATACAGATGGAAAGCGCACAAGGCACAAAATAACTTTGTGAATTCCAAATACAACTAGCGGAAAAGAGAGTTATTGAAAGTGTTAGGAAGTTAAAATCTGTGCAGACAGATGCACAGCATCAAACAATACCTGCTGTTCCTCTTGGCTCTTGCTCTAGCATAATAGGCTTCGTAAGACTTGGGTTTCAGATCCAATGCTTTGGTAGCAAACTCTTCAGCCATACCAAAGTCCTAATAATTTAAAGAAATGTGCTCATTATACAAAAGAAAGCTGCATGCTCTTTATTCATGGTACTGCTTCAAAAGTGCAGATGGCTTATGCAGTATAGAAGGTCACCTTTATCAGTTAGCAAGAGCAGATATTCTCTGAAAGACTGCGAACAGCCCTAATCTTGCTAACCCCTCTCTCACGTCTAAGGGAAACTGACTCCAAAGTAGCTAAAAAACTGTGTAAATATAGATAAGACATGGTTGCTTTCTGAACCCAGAGAAATGCCAGACGAGACCGCATGTTTAACAGGATAAATGGCTACCTCAGATAGCAAGGCTTTAGAATGTGTTTTGAAAAAAGGCCAGTTAAAGACCTAGGTATTTAGAGAAAAACAAGAAAAAACAGGAAATGGGTTGGACTAGTCCAGAGCTTGCTTCATAAAGAAATGTGAAACTTTTAGAGAAGAACTGCACTAGGCGGAATATATTTGTTCCTCATTTAACAAGAACAAAGAATAAGAGTTTAGTAAATTGTTGGAATTGACTAGAATTAACAAAGCAGGATTGAAACGGGGGCAAAGATGGATATGGGGAGGAAGAAGGCAGAAGCAAGTCTAATTTTTTATAACAGCCATGCACAGCACGGGGTGTTCATGCTCCTGAATTACATCAAACATGATGATACCGGTGATTGGAAAGTATTAACAAACACCAAAAAACCCATCTTGAGATATCATGCAAGAGCAGAGTAATGCGATGAGCTGTAGATGTAAGGTAATGTACTTCAGGATCAGCAAAATGTAAATGAGGGTTTATCAGTGGGATATGTTAAGAAACACACACACATGCACACACGTGCACTAGTTGGTGCCACTTTCTGCTGTTAGTTTGATGCAATGTTAAAAACCAATCTCATCCAGGAAGGCATCAAGAGAGGGAGTTCTATAGCAGAGAAAGGAAAGGAGTATTAGTGCTCTGCAAAGCAGCAGCAGAACTGCCTATGTAAAGTCCCGGGCAGCTACAGTTAGAAATTCTTCAGATTGGAGCAGATGCCAAGAACAACTTGTAGGACTAGGGAACTGAGAAGTTACTGTTTGAAGAGAAGGAACAGCGTAAGGTGTATTCAGAAAAGCACAAGTGTTTGCTCTGGTGGTCATTCAGGTTCTGATCAGCCATCTGATGCACTGGTGAAGGTACAGATAAACAACCAGCACATACAATGCAGCCATAGCGGTGGGTTACGCTGTGTGGTAACAAAGGGTAGTGGTGGTGGCATTTTCATTTAGTCTTGTAAA